TTGCATTGTAAACTGTGGTCAATGACATGAGACAAAGTATATGTGAACTGCTGTATGGAAAGTGAATTTGCTCTGTAAATCTTCACCCAAATCACATTAAATTAAATTAAATTATTTAAAAAAGTTAGTAAACAACCATCTAAGATTCTACTATTGGTCTGTCCATGTGTGGAGTAAAAGAGAGTAAGGAAAACCAAAGGCACATGGAAACAATTAGTCCAAGGGACCCGAGGACCATACAAACCTCAGCCTACATGATCCTGAGACCAGAAGTAGATAGTGCCTAGCTGCCACTGACAACCACTAGGAAAGGAACCAGATTTGGAGACCCTGGATAGCATGGGAGAATAATGTGGAACAAAATTAAAAACCATACAAAAGACCAGACTTCCTGGTATGATAGAGACTGGTAAAACCCCTGAGACCATGATCTCTAGTCATCATTTGGGCCTGGAATTGAACTTACTCCTGTGGCTTAACTTTCAGATAACCAATAGAGAGGCCTACAAGATGAATAATTACACCAGGGAGGTGCACTCCTTACAACAATCAACCATGGGAGATCAAAAGGGCAGCATTTGCATAGAGAGTAAGCTCAGAAGGCAAGAACACATAGGAAAGACGGCCATATGGAAAAGGTAAGCACAGGGAGGAAGTACAAAGAGAATAATTACATTGTAGGGCTTGCAATCAATGTCATGAAACAAACTCTGTATGAATTGTTGAATGGAAAGTGAAATTCTTCTGTAAACTTTCACCCAAATCACAATAAAAAAGTTTACACACACACACACATACATGTATATATAAACCAAAAAACAAACTCACTGCAGTTGAGTCAGATCCGACTCATAGTGACCCCTCTTTCGGTTTCCAAGACAGTATCACTACGGAAGTAGATTGCCTAACCTTCCTTCCGAGGAGAAGCTGGTGGATTTGAACCACCAGCCTTCTGGTGAGCAGTGAAGTGCCTTAGGTACTACGCCACCAGAGCTCCTAGACACACACACACATGTGTATACATATATATGTATGTCTATATACATATGTCTATACATATATATGTATGTCTATATACGTCTATACATATATATGTATGTCTATATACATATACATACACACACACACACATATATATAATATAGTATATACAGGAGCTCTGGAGGCATAGTGCCTAAGGCACTTGACTGTTAACTAGAAGGCTGATGGTTCAAACCTACCAGCCTCTCCTCAGAAGGAAGGTTGGGGAATCTACTTGTGTAGTGATACTGTCTTGAAAACCCAAGGAGGGGTCGCTATGAGTTAGATCCAACTTGACAGCAGTGAGTTTGGTTTTGGTATATATATATAAATATATATATGAGCTCTGGTAGCTTAGTGCCTAAGGCACTTGACTGCTAACCAAAAGGCTGGTGGTTCAAACCCACCAGCCACTCC